TAAAATAAATCAATTATGCATTCATGCCACCCACCAAAAATAAGAAATTCAACGTTACTGGTACCTATATTAGCCTTATTGTCATCCAGTCAGCCAGCGCCCTCTGTAGTGAATGCGACAATGTGCTCTTTCTAATGTTCACGGTTTCCACAAAACTTCGTATTTTTTGAGCCTAGTTTTGTTAAAGCTGACTTCCGACAACTTACCAAGAGTCGATTTTGAAATGATCGATTAATTTTACTTGAAAAATTTGCAATACTTTGGTACCGTAATGAAGAATGAATAATTGAAACGGTAGGTGGTATATTTAGTAGGTCCCTTTTATTTATATGACATTCATTTCAGACTTTGTCTTTCATCGAAGGATGATTTAATTTTTCTGCAAACTTAAAGTGATTTTGGGACCGATTAGGCTTGATCAGTATAATATATCCATTTTTCAGTACCATTTTCCATAGTATGAAACAAGCCCATTGTTGTAGATTCCAAAAATAACATTATATACAGGGTGTTCCAATTGTAAAATCAAAGTTTCCACTACTTTATTATGGAAGTGGCAACACCGCGTTATCGAAAATATGCTCTTCTTTGAATTTTTGAAGTGATCCGGTGTGTGGTTCACCAGTACCTAACGTCTAATGTGCCATCCTCCATGGATCAGCCTGTATTGTTGGATTGATAAAAATATTTCTGTCTTCATACTGAAAGGTTCTAGACTTTGAACAACACTAAAAAAAAAAACAAAATCATCAATATCGAAGCTACTCTCTCTCCACGGATTCATAATCGCAACTGAGTATTTTTGTCACTTTAAAATATCGTTATGATGTTATTTTTTTGGATTTTGTCTCCCCAACAGGTCCATAATCCATCAATTACTCATCCAATCTAGTAAATTTCAAAACCGTTTTTGTGACTCCACCATAAACAAGTCGAATCTCAGCGACACGGCCCGAACGAGCACCTTCACCGAGTTTCAAACAATTCAAGAGCTGCAGCCGTGCGCTGTTTGCCGCTTATCACAACGCCAACTTCATGATTTTAGTAACGCGTCGGCATCCGTAGTCAAAGGGTAGCTTCACCCGATTTCTCCCTATAAACACGCGTGCGACTTCAGATAAACTTTTTAAAAGTTCCAGCTCGACTTTTGCACCTTATTTTTATAAGATTTGGGGACTTTTCCACGTCGTTTGTGCCGCGGTTGGGACAGGAGTTGAGGAACTTTTCTTCTAGAGTTTTTGAAATGTTTTAGGCGATTGAGTACCGTGTTTTTTTGTGAAATGTGTGGTGTCTGTTTTCTGTGAACGATTTCCGTGGACATAGAAAGATGATGGGGAGTTTCAAAATCGTTTTTGGATTAGTTTTTTGCTTCTTTGTCAAAGGTGAGCGATGTCAGTGACTTGATCTGTTTGTTGATCGGCTCGTTTGTGACATTCCGACTTGATGCCTCCGCAATTTTGAAGAGTTCTATTATCTATAAACAAAAAAAGGACATTTTGAGAAAACAATAGCCGCGTTTTCTCAAGGCCACTTCCTATAGGAGTAACCTTACCAACATTATTATTACCAATTTTTATACACAGCATTTATGAAAGAAAATTATTGAACGTATTTAAACTTGAAACAACAGCTGAAAATCGTGAATAGATATTTTGGTATGAAAAATAAAACGAATAGAAAAAAATAACTTTTTTCGATGGAGAAAACTGAAAAATGAGAAATGTGTTTTACCACTTTCTTTTGTGACTATGATTTTATTGTATTAGTTGGAAAATGTCTATATAGGACATTTATTTCTCATTTTTCATGAGTATTCATGTAGTAATGGCTACATCAATTAATTTATTGGAGAAAACTGAATATTTCAACAGGGGCGTATCGAAAATATTCCTCATTTCTGCTGAATACTGTTTCGTGATTAATTAAATCATGTTATTCCGGACCTGAAACCAATGGCAAATAATTAGGTAAAATGNAGAACATGTTTCACAGAATCTCCATAAGAACCATTTCTCAAGCTGCGATCGATCCTTCCAAGTGAAGAAGGGTTTCGTAGAGGGATCGATTCGGCTCTTGCTTCATGAAGCTCTTCCACTGGAAGGGAACCAGTTCTACGAGGACTATTGTATTTTATTGTATTTTCATTATCAAGGGTTTTACACAAACAACGACACGTGTTTTGCTATAAAATAGCTTCATCAAGCGTAAACTAAAAGTTTTTTACGGGGTTTTTGTAAAACCCTATATAGTGAAAATCATACAATAAACTGTATTAATTACTTTTAATATGGATTTTCATCAAGTATCGGCCAGGTCTATTCAATTATGAATAGACTAAATGATTCCAAGCAGCACTATATCTTTCCTACTTGTTTATACGGAAACTTGTATCTGTATTGTACATGAGCATTATATTTTACATAATATATTTTCTTCTTTGAAATATCTATGTTTTTTGTTATCTATATATATCTTCTTGTGATATCTATGTATATATTATTATCTATTCTATGAACTATAATTCTCTAAACTACTCAAGGAATTAAAATATTTTCGCCCATGCACAAGGGAAACCTTCTTTTGGGCGCTCCGTAGGTATTTAATTACCATCATTCACTGTCAGCAATAGTTATTCAAACTCTACTTGTATATTTGGTGAATAAATTGTATTGTTTTGTATTTCATTGTATTGTATTAATTTGCTTTCCATAAAGTTTTTTTCCTGGAAATAAATATTTTTCGACTTATTCGCAAGTGAAAAAAACAATTTTTTAAAGAAAAAATCCACGGATTCAGACGGTTTTTCGCAACTGACTCCAAAAGTTAGTAGTTTATGAAAAAAATCATTGCTGCTGAAAATGTACCTAGCTTATAGAAAAACGAAAAGAAAAGTGGGTTTATGGTGATTACAGACCCAATAAGAAAGAAGTAATAGCTTATTGAAGGTTGGTTCATATTCGTCAAATTGAAAAATTGAAAGTTTCAACGGGAAATAAGAAGAAAACAATGAATTATTCCAGAAGGAATCTCGTTGAAGTGTTTGAATTTTTTTTTACTTATCATTTCAACTTTTTTCTTTAAAAAATTATTTAAATATTNAAGTTATATGAAGTACTGGTGATATTTTGACTCCATCTATACATTCCCGAGAGGAAAAGAGGAAGTCCAGGGACACCCTGTATAGGAAGTTGCTTTCTATGAATCGTCCATATGGAAGTCGTTGTACATGTGTCTGATAGTTTTTCTTCAGCTTTTTGCGTGGCATTAGCTGTATTAGTTATTGTTCTCCGTCAGGTATCTGTCACATGTGCTTATAAAGTCGCAGATTCACATAAGAGGCAAGGGAGAGGTGGTTTCGCCTATACTCAAGCATATCATCTGCAAGTCTTCGGAACATGTAACTGTCCACAAGTGAGCGATATTTGAAAAAAACTGTTATCGGATATCTTCATCAACGCAATAGAACCTAACCTAAAACAATTATTTTTGAAATATTTGTCTGTCTATATTTCTCTCCGTGAAGCAACATTTTTGATTTACCCTGCGAATTGCTTCCAATAAAATACCTACGAACAAAAGACTGTGACACAAATCTGTCCGACCTTATGAAATATCTAATGATAAGTAAAAAGCAACGGCTCCCGTGCCATTTGCATCACGAAGTTTGAGAACATCTACTTTCCAAATCATTATGTATGTATATCCCCAAGGATAGTTTACTAAAAGTCTAATCAAGACAGTAATCAGACTCCACCAGCGGAGGTAATGCATGCGACAACTTTAGTCAACTCGCGCTAAATATTCAGGAGGCCCAAATAAAAAAGTGTCCACAGGGAAATGAAATATCATTTCGCTTACTTGAAGAAACGGCTTCATCAACGCGCGGTCAAACTTTTCCGAAACAAGATCCTCATTAAAAATTATGTTTCTTTGAATGTAGGTGATTTTGATATTGAGGTGAAACAGAAATTTTGAATATTTTCAACGTTTCATCTCGTTGAGTATGGAGTGATTATAATAACAAATGGCAAGTCACTTATTGACATAATTTTGTACTCAAAAAAGATTCAAAAAGTTAAATGAATTTCATTCTTCTATACCACAAGAGTCCAATATCGTTAAAACTAAGTTATATAAAAGGTGATGAAATTTGTGAAAATGATGAGATACTTCAGAGAAACTATAAGTATTAAAACTCTTTGGCCTTCTGCTTATTCATCAATGGATATCGAATCATATGTGAATGAGAAATTAATAACGTATTCTTCTTCACTCTGAGATTTTCACTATACCTACAGTTTACAAAAATATTGATGTACCGAAGGATAGCGGTGTCTTTAGCAAAAAACGTGAATTTACCACTAATGTGAAGATGGGCTGTCATTGGGACACGTCCCAAAACTGACCCTTGAGAGACACCACAGCCAATCAATCGTTCCTCTGATGGAATTTCATTTACTACTGAATAGTACACGAATGGCTCAATCTACAGCAACTCAAATAACGGTTATAATTCAAGATAAAAATAAAATCTGAATTAGGCAATGGAGTAGGAACTCAACATGGAAGTGTGGAAATCTTTTACTGTTCTTCCCTGTGATATTAAAACCTTTTTGCAATTTTTTTGCAGACGATATGAGTGAATTAAAACTGAATGTAGCGAAAATTCTGGCCAACGTCTTCACTGCCAAGGTTAAATATGATGATCTTCACATTGACAACATTATATTGAATATCAACAATGAAACAATTTCTGTTGGATAAAATGTTTAGTATTTGGGTTTGTTAGACAACTTTCTGAATTCTCCGAACTAATGAACTCACCATGATCGAAGTCAATGTTGATGACTTTCACGTGGTTTCCAGTTTCGAAACAAATCTATAATCTTCATCTATGAAATACTGATTCACTTGGTCCCAGAATATTTCCGAACATCCATTTTTTCCAATGAAAAAACAAAGATGTAAACAATTATTAACACTCGCAGCACTATTTAACTTTANGAAAAAGTTTTCCTACCAAATATATGTTCATTCATTTTTATGAGTTTATCAACAACTTTCAATTCTTTTTCTATAGCTTCATTGTAGTCCTTCACAATTTCTTCTCTTGCTTGTCTAGAGCGCTCATTAAATTCGGCAAGGGACTTGGTAAAATCCGATATTTGTTCCCTCACTTCTGAAATTTTATTGCACGCAATCAAAGCATTTTCTGTTACCTGTTCTTCTTCTTTTATTTCATTGTTTATGATTTCATTTTGATATCTTTGAAAGACAGGATAATTCTGGGATACTTTCAACACCTTATGTATTTGTGGAGGCTTGATATCTCCAGCTTTCACCTCTCTACCAGTTTCTGTGTAGATGCTTTTATAATTCGTACAAATAATACTCTCTGAAGTATTTTTCGGATATTTGATAACATCATTTTCTTCTGCAATATCTCCTGGCGGAGTCAGTTCAAATTCCAATTTGACCTTTTTTTGACTTTTCGTTAGTAGTTCTATTATCTCATCTTTTTTTTCATTAACAAGTTCTCTCTGTATCGGTTTCAAAATTTGTATATTTTGCTGCGGTATTTTTATATCCCATTCCAACATCTCTCTATACTCTCGGTCTTCGTCATTATTTTCTTTCGGTTTTGATGTGAGTATTTTTTTCAATTCTTCTTTAGTTTTCACATTTGCTGTTAAGTTGCACTCCTGTGGACCATCTCTTTGTTCGTGTATGTTTTCAATTTTTGTAGGCGGAAGCTTGTCCATTTGTCTGTAAATCTGATCCTCAAATCTTTCGAAAGATCCATCACTCTCATCACCTTCATCACAACTGCAAATATCTGACTCTTTTACCTCAACGTTTTCTCTCAAAATATCTTGAATTGTTGTGTACTTAGTAATTTTTTTAACTTCTTTGCCCATGATTTCACGAATATTATCTCTTGTTAAATTATTCACATTCAGGTCCGAATGTTTCTCAATAACATTTTTGTTTGTCTTCTGTTTTTCCTCTTCTTGTAAATGTATTTTTCCCATCTCACGTCTTTCCAAAAATTCTTCAAATGTCATGGTCGAATCTGACATATCTTCATTTTTGACAATATCAGTTGCTTTTTGTTTCAAAAGACGTTTGTTTTCGGAAAAATAATCATCGGATATCAGCTCTCCTTGTATTTTTTTCTTATCATACTGAATCTTCTGTTCTTCACTGTTGATTTTATTTGCATTTCTCACATATGCTTCCTGGTGTTCAGTTGTGTTAGTTATTTGTTCTAGTACTTTTGGAAAATTGGCTTCAGGTTTTTCTTCCTCTTCATTCAACTCTTTCATTTCTTTCGTCAAACATACATTCTTGGAATGCCTTTCAAGTTTTATAGCGTTTTCATCATTTTCAACCTGTTCATTAATGTTTGAATTTTTTTCTTCATTACTTGTCTGTTCTTTGATTCCACTTGTACTTGGTGCATTTTCATCAGTTATTTCTTCAACTGACAATCGTCGAGTTGATTCTTTTCTAGTGAAATCAAAAATTCTTTCTCTATATTCTGAAAATTCTCTCGGGTCGATCTGCCTGTCTTCCATAAACTCATCGTCTGTATCACTATTTGAAGAAGATTGCATTTCTTCTCTCTGACAGTCTCTGGCGTAATTATAATTGTCAACATCATTATCATTCGTTTCTGAAAAGCTATCATCCACTTCTTGAAATTGAGGTAAATTGTCGTCTTCAAAATGTTGAACGTTTTGCAGATTATTTTCGAAGTCACTTTCCGAATCTCCCACCGAGGTTCCATGGCCGCTGTCGGATTGTCTGCGACGTTCCTCAAGATGTCTGTCCCTTATAGCTATCAGTGCGTTAACACNATAGAGTGACGCTGCTTGACAATGTCAATTTTGACACTGAAGCAAAAAATCATAGAAAATACTTATAGTAGTTGGGTCTGAAGCATTGAAGTTTACACCAGATTTCTGAAAACATACATAAAAATACTACCGAATTGTCATTTCTCAAATAATACATCTTAATAGAATTCATTTCCGCTGGGAAACTAGAGACGGAAGAAAAAATGGCTTACTTGATCGAACTGGAATATACAGATATCCCAGCCTTTTGTCGCAAGAATAAATATTATAATGAAAGTGTTGAGAATAGCAATTTTTCATGACAAGTTCTCTTAAAACCTTTATAATATGTGTTCTGTGAGTAAATATAAGCTTCTTGAAAAATAAGTGTTCTGTGTTGGTTGATTTATGTCAAAAGGGGTCAATGTAAGAAATATATATCAAGTATTGGGAAAATAAAGGAATTACAAGGAAATAAACTTGACGTATCTTTCTCACTTTCAACAAACAGTTGATACCTAAAAGAAAGCAGTTCTTTCATCAGAAAGTCAATTTATGCGATGAAATGGAAATTCAATAAATCGCCAAACCTCAATAAGGGCACAATAACATTCGTAACCTTCCCAAGATAAAGATTTTATAGATAATATAAAACATTCAGTCTAAAAGAGGGTTGATAATCAAATATATAAGGAAGTGTACTCTTAGAACACAAGTCATTCCAACATTTCAATAATGTTTATAACCATATTCAGGGAAGATACAATAATTTTAAAGTAAAATACAAGTAAAAAATTCAAAGAACACTAGTAAAACTTACCGTTAACAAGGTTTGAAATTGGCCATGTCACAAATGTTGTTCAACTAGTATTGATAAAACATGTCAGATGAAGGTACAGCCTTAATATAACATTAAGGCTGATTATATGAAGCAAAGTTCATTACTTTTGAAATTAACATTTATCATTGTTATGAATAAGTTCATTTGAAATAATTTAATTTAAACCCAGTAAACCACGTGCTTTATTATAAAGCCATTTATAAATAAAAATTTAGTAGGTGGTAGAAAAACTGGCCCAATTTCCATAATCATTAATAATGAATCAGATTTCCTGTAGAAACTATTTGAACAAAATACATTTTCACCTGAAATGATTTGTTTTATAAATATATAATATCTCTCCGATTATCAACTAAACCAGCCGCCACAGTTTTATGGTCCAACTTACTTCCCGTAAACAAAGTTATGCTGCCTTCAATGTAAGGATGGAAAAGGCCTCTCTATTGTCTTTTGTTACTCTGAGCCTTGAACAAGGAGATTGAAATATGACATATGAAGTATGGCATAGAATAAGGATTTATGTATGTGTCAAAGAAAATCATGGAACAAAGAATGTTACCAACACTGGTGAAACTGTGGTACATTTACCGTTGGACTATATTTACAACTGCAAATGTAGTAATGTTATAACGCAGAATGCATTCGTCAATGGTATTCAACGCGAATGCAGTCGCAGGCAATGATATATTGAAATATTTGGTTTCAGTTATCGACAGTTTACTTCCTTATTTCAACTGTAGACGTTCATGGTTTATTTTGATTTTTGTAAAAGTTTACGTATGTAAAAACAGATTAAATACGCCACTTCACATTCATTTTTCGATGAAGAAACTGATGAATATTTTCACACATAATAACTATATGTTCTAACATTTGACGGTAGAAAGCATATCAAGGTATTGGTGTGGAAAAAAATCTCAGTATAATCGATACCAGATTCTACTGCCAAAACGCTGTTCAAATCAGTAGAGTATCCGGTTGGTTGAATTTGACGATCAGATCCACACAATTTTCCATTATTTTTCCAGATTACAGAAGGTGAAAATACATATCGAGGTTGATGAAAAACTGATTTCCCCAAAAATGACTTTTGTTCAATAACTGAATTTTTTTTATGTACAATTCATTTTGTCTATTGTATCAATGGGAAGATTAGTCTAACATGTTATCCTACGACTTTGTAGGCATGTGTGACAGGTAAAACTAACCCAGCTAATGCCGCGCAGAAAGCTGAAGTAAAACCATCAGGCATCCGTGGAACGTCTTCCAATTGGAAGACTTGTCGCACCTCTCCGGAACATGTTTATGATTCTGACTCCCAACGCGGAGTATGTGATTGTGGAGTTGCTTCCGGACTTTTTCTCCAGGTGGCGCAGTGGTACTCCCTACTGAATCAACTGCAGATAGACCTTATGCCTAGTTGGAATTGATTTTGTTTGTTCGGGATATTCAGTCGATTCATTCCCTCTGAAGTGACCCTCCCGGTACTGACGAGGAGCTAGTACTCCGAAACCGGTCTAACGGTGGTCGTCCCAACCAAATGAAATTGTAGCTTTTCATATACAGGGTGTCCCTGGACTTCCTCTTTTCCTCTCGGGAATGTATAGATGGGGTCAAAATATCACCAGTACTTCATATAACTTTTTTTCCTAAAATCCTTCGTTACCAAGTAACGGGCCCTCGAAGTTACAAAATGAAAAATGTTTTTCTTTGATAACTTTTCAAGTGAATATTCAAAATCATCCAAATTTTGG